AATGACAGATGTTGGCGAGGATGCGGAGAAAGGAGAACGCTCCTACACTGTTGGTGGGAATGCAAGCTGGTGCATTCCAGACCTGATGGGTCTGGAAAACAGTATGGAGGTTCCTCAAAAAGTTAAAAATAGAGCTACCCTATGACCCAGCAATTGCACTACTGGGTATTTACCCCACAGATACAAATGTAGGGATCCGAAGGGCCACATGCACCCCAATGTTTATTGCAGCAATGTCCACAGTAGCCAAAATATGGAAAGAGCCCAGATGTCCATGGACAGATGAATGGATAAAAATGTGGTGTGTGTGTGTGTGTATACACACACACGCACACACACACACACACACAATGGAATATTATGCAGCCACCAAAAAATGAAATCTTGCCATTTGCAATGACGTGGATGGAACTAGAGGGTATTATGCTAAGCGAAATAAGTCAATCAGAGAAAGACAATTATCATATGATCTCACTGATATGTGGAATTTGAGAAACAAGGCAGAGGATCATAGGGAAAGAGAGGAAAAATGAAACAAGAAGAAACCAGAGAGGGAGACAAATCATAAGAGACTCTTAATCTCAGGAAACAAACTGAGGGTTGCTGGAATGGAGTGGGTGGGAGGGATAGGGTGGCTGGTGATGGACACTGGGGAGGGTATGTGTTGTGGTGAGTGCTGTATATTTTGTGAGACTGATGAATCACAGACCTATATCCCTAAAACAAGTAATACATTATATGTTAATAAACAAAAAAAAAAGCATATCATCTAAATAGATGGAGAAAAAAAGCATTCACCAAGATTCAACATCCATTTATGATAAAACTATCAACAAAGTGGGCACAGAGGAAATGTACCTCAACATAGTAAAGGCTATATGAGAAGCCCCAAGCTAACATCATACCCAATGGAGAAATACTGAATGTATTTTCCTCTAAGATCATGAACAAGATAAGGATGCCTACTCTCATCACTTTATTCAACACAATATTGGAATTCTCAGCCAGAGTAACAATGCAAGAAAAAGAAATGAAAGGAATACAAATTAGAAAAGAAGAAACAAAACTCATTATTTACAGATGACATATGACATAGAAAAGTCTAAAACTTCATCAAAAAACTTTAGAATAAACAATTTATTGTTTTATTCTAATTTAGTAAAGTTGCAGAATACAAAATTTAGTAAAGTCGTAGAATACAAAATCAGTATATGAAAATGTTCATATTTCTATTCACTAATAATGAACTAACAGAAAGAGAAATCAAGAAAATCCATCTACAATTGCATCAAAAATAATAAAATACTGGAATAAATTTTACTAAGAAGGTGAAAGATCTGGACACTGACAAGTATAAGACATTAATGAAAACAAAGTGAAGAAAAAACAGAAAGATACCCCATGCTCATAAACTAAAAGAACTATTATTGTTAAAATGTCCATACTACAATTCAATACAATCCCTATGAATATTCCAATGACATTTTCAACAGAAATGGAACAAATATTCCTAAAATTTGTATGGAACCACAAGAGAGAACCAAAGCAATCTTAAGAAAGAAAAACAAACCTGGAAGCATCGAGGTCACTAATTTCAAATTATATTACAAAGCTACAGTAATCAGGGCACCTGGGTGGCTCAGTCAGTTAAGCGTCTGCCTTTGGCTCATGTCATGATCCCAATATCCTGGGATCAAGCCCCACATTGGGCTCCCTGCTCACGGGAAGCCTGCTTCTCCCTCTCCCACTACCCCTGCTGTGTTCCTGCTCTCACTCTCTCTCTCTGTCAAATAATAAAAATATTTAAAATAAACAAAAAAAAAGCTACAGTAAACAAAACAGTATGGTACTCACAAAAACACTAACAAAAAAAAAACAACAAAACAAAACCAGACACAGATCAATGGAACACACAAAATAGAAAGCCTCCCTCCCTCCCAGAAAAATCCATGCAGATATCGTCAATTAATCTTCAACCACAGAGCCAAGAATACACAATGGGGAAAGGCCAGTCTCTTCAATAAATTGTGTCTGGAAACCTGGAGAGCTACATGCAAAAAAAAAAAAAATGAAAATGAACCACTAAATTACACCATATACAAAATTAACTCAAAATGGATGGGGCGCCTGGGTGGCTCAGTTGGTTAAGTGACTGCCTTCGGCTCAGGTCATGATCCCAGGGTCCTGGGATCAAGCCCCATGTCGGGCTCCCTTGCTCAGTAGGGAGTCTGCTTCTCCCTGTCCCTGTGCCCCTCCCCCTGCTTGTGCTCACTTGTGCTCTCTCTCTCTCAAATAAATAAAATCTTTAAAAAAAAAAAAACAAAATTAACTCAAAATGGATTAAAATCCTAAACATTTAAGTGTAGAAAGTATAAAACTTTTGGAAGACAACATAGGTGATAAGCCCCTTGAGAAAGGTCTTAGAGATGATATTTTGGATTTGACATCATAAGGTAAAAGCAAAAATAAGTGGGACTACATCAAACTAAAAGGCTTCTGCACAACAAAGTGAAAGGCAACCTAGCAAATGGGAGAAAATATTTAATATCATATATCTGATAAGGAGTTAATATCCAAAATCAATTTAAAAAAGCATACAATCCAATTAAAAAAGGGGCAGAAGTTCTGAATAATTTTCCTAAGAAGATATCTGGATGGCCAACAGGTACCTGAAAAGGTGCTCATTCCTCACTAATTATCAGGGAAATGCAAATCAAACCACAATGAGATGCACCTCACTTCTGTTAGTATGGCTATTATCAAAAAGACAAGAAATAACCAGTGTTGGGAGCACCTGGATGGCTCAGTCAGTTGAGCATCCAACACTTGGTTTTGGCCAGGTCATGATCTCAGGATCGAGTCCTGTATCAGGCCCTGTGCTCAACATGGAGTCTGCTTGAGATGCTCTTTCTCTCCCTCTGCCCCTAGCCCCATTCATGCATGCACATACCCTCTCTCTCTCTCAAATAAATCAATCTTTAAGAAATAACAAGGGTTGGAGAGGATGGGGAGAAAAGGGAACCCTTGTGCACTGTTGGTGGGAATGTAAATCGATGCAGCCACTATGGAAAACACTATGGAAGTACTTTAAAATATTAAAAATAAGGGCTAGTATCCAAAATCTATAAAGAACTTATTAAACTCAACACCCAAAGAACAAATAATCCAATCAAGAAATGGGCAGAAGACATGAACAGACATTTTTCCAAAGAAGACATCCAAATGGCCAAAAGACACATGAAAAAGTGCTCAACATCGCTCGGCATCAGGGAAATCCAAATCAAAACCTCAATGAGATACCACCTCACACCAGTCAGAATGGCTAAAATTAAGTCAGGAAACGACAGATGTTGGCGGGGATGTGGAGAAAGGGGAACCCTCCTACACTGTTGGTGGGAATACAAGCTGGTGCAACCACTCTGGGAACAGAATGGAGGTTCCTCAAACAGTTGAAAATAGAGCTACCATACGATCCAGCAATTGCACTACTGGGTATTTACCACAAAGATACAAATGTAGGGATCCGAAGGGGTACATGCACCCCAATGTTTATAGCAGCAATGTCCACAATAGCCAAACTGTGGAAAGAATCAAGATGTCCATCAACAGATGAATGGATAAAGAAGATGTGGTATATATACACAATGGAATATTATGCAGCCGTCAAAAGGAATGAGATCTTGCCATTTGCAATGATGTGGATGGAACTGGAGGGTGTTATGCTGACTGAAATAAGTCAATCAGAGAAAGACATGTATCATATGACCTCACTGATATGAGGAATTCTTAATCTCAGGAAACAAACTGGGGGTTGCTGGAGTGGTGGAGGGTGGGAGGGATCGGGTGGCTGGGAAAAAAGAAAAAAAAGAAAAAAATATTAAGAATAAAACTACCATATGATCCAGCAATTCTGGTATTTATCCAAAGGGAATAAAAACAAGTTTGAAATAATACTGATGCTTACCGCACAATTACAAGCATACCTGAGAGACGTTACAGGTTCTGTTCCAGACCATCACCATAAAATGAATATTGTAAAAAAAAGGAGTCAAATGGATTTTTTGGCTTCCCGGTGCATAAAAAAATCCAGCTTACACTACACTGTAGTCTGTTAAGTTTGCAATAGCATTATGTCTAAAAAACAATGTATGTGTCTTAAAAGATACTTTATTGCTAAAAAAATGCTAGCCATCATTTTATCTTTCACAAGTCATAATCACTCATCACAGATCACCTTAACAAATATAATGAAAAAGTTTGAAATATTGTGAGAATTACCAAAACGTGACACAGAACATGAAGCAAAAGCTGTTGGAAAATATATTTACTATATGCAGGGCTGCCACAAAACTTCAATTTTTTTTTTTTTTTAAAAGTGTAGTATCTACAAAGCACAAAATCTAAGCACAACAAAATGAGGTGTGCCTGTATTTACAATAACCAAGAAATGGAAATAACCTAAATGTCCATTAATGGATGGATGGAGAAAGGAAATGTAGTATATATACAAGGCAAATATTATTCTGCCATGAAAAGAAGGAAATCTTGCCATTTGCTACAACATAGATGGACCTAGAGGACATTATGCTATGTGAAATAAGTCTGTCAGATAGAGACAAATATCCTAAAACACCTCACAGACACAGATAACAGATGTATGGTTGTCTGAGGTGGGGGTGGGGAGGGGGTGAAATGGGTGAAGATGGTTAAAAGGTACAAACTTCCAGTCATAAAATAAAAAAGACTTAGGTATATAATGTACAGCATAGTGACTACAGTTAACATTGTATGATACATTTGAACGCCAGTAAAGAGAACAGATCTTAAAAATTCTTAACACACACACACACACACACACACACACACACGAATAATTTGTAATTGTGTAATGAATGTTAGCTAGACTTGTGATCATTTCAAAAAATAAACACACCAAATCATTATGTTGAACACCTGATACTAATAGGTCGATATCTCCAAAAAAAAATTAAATTAAATACCTTCAGATTATATTTATGAGCTTTATCCAAAATAGTCGGTACCAAGTCATCAGTATTTTCTCCATTCTCATCATTTGTACCAGGTGGGTACCAAGATAGGGCTAGTACACCTAATAGAAAAGACCAAAAAGAAAAATAAATACAGAAACAGGAATGACTGGAGGAATTCTAAAAAAAAATTTAAGAAGGCAGAATAAAGACCAAATTGTTAACAACAGAAAAGAAACACATTCTCATATAAATTGTTGTTTTGTTACTTAGATACTACCTATGGTTATTTAATTACTTTGTAATAGTCTATATATGAACTCTTTATCAAGTATGAATATATTTTAGTTAATAGGTTTTGCTTTCCAGATTAAGTTTACAGAAAAATTGCACAGAAAGTATAGTTTCCATATATTCTCCTCTTACAAACCCACTCCCCAACCCACATATGGTTCTTGTTATTAATATCTTGCCTTTATGTGGTATATTTGTTACATGTGATGGACCAATATTGATACATCACTATTAACCAAAATCCACAATTTACATTAGGGTTCACTCTTTGTGGTGTACAGTTGTATGGCTTCTGACATAAGCATATGTGCCCACCATTACAGTATAATGCAGAATAGTTTTACAGACCTCAGAACCCTCTGACATCCATCTATTCACCCCTCCTCCCTCACTCCCTCAATTCCCTGGATAATAACTGATCTTTTCAGTATCTCTATTGTTTTATCTTTTCCACAATGCTACATAGGTGGAATCCTAACAGTAACTTTTACAGACTGGCTTCTTACACTTAGCAATACATAATTAAGGTTCATTTATGTCTTTTTGTGGATTTATAGATCATTCTCTTTACTGCTGCATGATAACTCATTGCATGGATGTACTACAGTCTATCCATTCACCTACTGGAAGATACCATGGATGCTTCTAATTTGGGGCAATTAAGAAGATTCAAGAAAAAAAAAATTACAGTTTCTCCCTGTAAGAAAGGCCATGAGAAAAATGCTACTTATTTCTAAATCAACCAACACATTATTTAAGGCATGGAGAGAAATACAATGGTACCAAAAGAGAAGCATGTGGAAATACAGGAACTCGAAGGTTAGAAACTGGCAGAGAACTAAATTATAAGACTTTATAGTAGACCTGCCATGTACAGAGCAGCCCCATCTAGAAAAACAAGACAGAAATTTCATTAAAGTTTACAGGAAAAAAAAAAAATGTCTATGTCCTCTACCCACTCTGAAAATAAGAATAGCAATAAGAACACAAGAGGTAGAATAAAATAATCTATAATACATGAAGTGCTTTAGGGAAGCTTATGGCTAGCTATGAAGGGAGTATATTATATATAGAAAAGTGCTGGTAAGAAAAGTGTCTGGAAACAATTGATCGAATATCTAAGCTACCTACTAGCCTAGCTTATAAAAAGAATAGTACCAATGAAGAGTCACAGTAAAAAAAATTCTCAACATGGAACTTATGAAAAAATCCTACAAAAAATTTTAAAAAAAGTTGACACAAAATAGTAAAGGAGGAACATATAAAAGAAAGATTATGCCATGAAGCCTAGAAAAATTGTAAGTATAGCATTTTTCCATGAAATTCAAAACAAAAGATTCCTGTTTCTAGTAATAGATTAGGTTACATAGGCCAACATTTCCATGAAAAAAATTATTAAATAAAATATGGATTACAAAAAACTTCTTAAAGCCAAAGAGCTAGACAGTTAAGGAATTACCTGTCCAAATTGAGGCAAAAACATGAAGAGAAGTAAATGAACAAGAAAGTCAGTCTTCCCAAAAAAGTAACTGACAGAAGTAAACCAACCATCAAAACCAGTGGATTAAGTCCCAGGATGACAGTGCTTGGGAAATTCTCTAGCTTTAAAGTGACTAGTATTTTCTACTGTACTGAACAACACAGATAAAGAACATTTTCATTATCACAGAAAGTTCTATTGGACAGCATTGCTAGATTGTTGATTCTCCTAATACTCTAACCATTTCATTCTTATCTACTGATTTTTCTTTCTCCTTATCCTCACTGAAGTTATACTCTAAGGTTTGAGAATGTTCTTTGTTCCTCATTATTACTTTCTTTCAGCTTTTTATCGTACCAAATTATCATTTCCAAATGTCTAATTCTATCTCCATACTGTGCTCCACCATCTAATTTATCTTTGTACGGTATCTTTTGGACTTTATTACTCATGAGTTCTGAATAAGTAAAGGCCTGGGAAATAAGCCAATGATGGTCCTCCTCCTGAGGATGGCTGGACCACTTAAAATGGTTATGAATCACCACAGCAACCAGAGGTTTCTCTAACACATATAAACCAGTATCATTTATAAATAAGATTACTGCATATTTCTACTATTTCAATTATGTAGTGAAAAGAGATATTCTTTGAGGTCTATCCTTAGAATATTAGCATTTCATTTTATTATTTTAAAAAAGATTTTACAGAGCACAAGACAGTGCAAGACACCAGGCACAAGTGGGGGGGAGGGGCAGAGGGAGAGACTCTTCAAACAGACTCCCCACTAAGCTCAGAGCCCAACAAGGGGCTCTATCTCACAACCCATGAGATCACGACCTGAACTGAAACCAAGAGTCAGACACTTAACTGACTGAGACACCCAGGCACCCCTAACATTTTATTAAATGCAGATGTCATATTGATCATGTTGTCCCTCCATAGCACATATCACAGGGCCTTCAATATAAGTGATACCCAATCCTTTTTTTTTTTTTTTTTTTTTGGGTGAGGTCAAATGATGAATCTAAAAGTTAAGGACATAAGATATGAAATCAGACACCTGGAGAATCAAGTTCCCATTCTATTATTTGATAGGTGTTTATCTTTAATTTTACTTAAGTTTCCATTTGTAAAATGGGGATAACTTCAGTTCATTCCCTAAAAGTGTGTTTTAAAAAGTATAGAGAATGCCTTACATAGAATAAGACCCCCAAAAGTAATTACAAAGAAGGTAATAAAAAGATAACGGCAAATAAATTAGGATATATTTAACTCCACAGAGCTTATGACAGCTTCCCTTATATATAGGTAACTTACTGTTTCTTTCAAACATAAAACATTACTTCAAACTAAAGGTTTAGCAGAAAGGGAAGCCCAGTTCCAGACATAAACACTATTATCACTACACAAGATAACCCATGTTCAACAAAAAGTATAAGGCATATAAAAAAGCAAGAAAAAGATAACTGTCAGGAGGCAAAATAGTCAACAGAACCAGACTCCAATATGAAACAGATGTCTAAATAATTAGACAAAGAATATAAAATTACTATGATTAAAACATTAAAGGTCCAAATGGGAAAGACAGCCATCATATGTAGATCAGGTGGGAAATAGCAGCAGAGATGAAAACTCTAAGAATCAAATAGTTCAGGGAAGATAGAGTAGGGTGATCCCAAGCTCACCTACCCCCATGGACACACCTCTGAGATTATAGCTACATTTATGTAACTAGCTCTGAAAATGATCTGAAGACTGGCAAAAAAGACCTTCCACAGTTAATCATAGACCGGGGGTCACATCAAAAAGGGTAGGAGCCATGGAGACACAGTTGGGAAGCAAAACACTGGGTGAGATTAACCACAAACAGGACTTATACTACAAGCAAAGAGAAGGGAGAGGATTAAACCTCACACCAGGCACCTAAGACACTGGGAAATGCACTGGGAAGATGAGTCCCCATAACATCTGGCCTTGAAAACCAATGGGGCTTAACTTCAGGAGCTTTTAGTATCAGCAAAACTTAACTCCACATACTTTAAAAATCAGCTGGGCTTAACTCCAGGAGAGTCAGACAATAATAGGAAACAGAGTCCTGCCTTTAAAAAGCCAGAATAATAAATAACTCAGCCAGAAACACAGCACAATAGTAGCAGTTTGAAAAGTGCCTCGGGTACATGAAGATTTACTTAGTAATTTCAGAACATATGCCAGAGGGGTAGGGATCATCAGGAGACTTCTCTAGAAACAAAAGTACTGGTGGGTGCCATTTCTCTTCCCCTCCCTGATCCTAGATAGCTGGACATTTGGCAGGAGCCAGCATAACAGTCTCTACCTATCTTGCTAGCACTATTTACCTGCAGATCTGCCCATCCAACCCTCCTGCATTGACAAGCATCCCACCAGAGTGGTTCCTGCCCCCACCATAACCTGCAAACAGCCCCAGCAGGGACCAGCACCACTCAAAAGTGATGCCTGCCCTGGAGAGGGGAAGATAATCCCACACACCGGAATGCCCACAGTTCGAGCATCAAAGCCTCTTCACTGGCTGAGCAAAAAGTAAAGTTTGCTGTTTGGTATCCCACAGCTGTGGCAGGCAGGCTAAGTTCAGACAGCCTGACTGCTGACCTCACCCACCTACAAGATTGCAGAGGCCTCAAACAGACTTCTCAATTGCACAAATTCTGCCTTGTTTGCGCAAAGCAGGCAAAGCAGGTCACTGCAGTTGGCTGGACTGAAGGCAAATGCAGTTCAGCCACAACATTAGGGCACACACAGCATGCAGAGGAGACACCCCAGGAGCACCTGTTTCTGGTGACCAAGGGAGGACTGACAGGGTACCACAGGATCTCTTCTACAGAAGGCACATTAAACCAGATGGGAACTAAGATATATAAAGAACATTCTATCCATAAACAGAAGAATATATGTTCTTTTCAAATGCACATGCAACATTCTCCAATACATACCACACAAAACAAGTCTCAATAAATTTAAGATTAAAATCATATAGCATCTTTTGACCATAATAGTATGAAACTAGAAATCAATTACAATAGAAAAATCTGGGAAGAACATAAATACATGGAAGCTAAACAACATGCTACAAAACAGTGAATGGGTCAATGATGAAATCAAAGAGGAAATCGAAAAATACATGGAGACAAATGAAAATGAAAATACACGAGTACAAAATCTTTGCGACACAGCAAAAGCAGTTCTAACAGAGAAGTTTATAGCAATACAGGCCTATCTGAAGAAACAAAAAAAAGGTCTCAAATAAATAACCAATCCCACATCGAAAAGAGCTAGAAAAAAGAACAAACATAGCCAAAAACAGCAGAAGGA